AAAATTGATGCAGATATGACTTGACACAGGAGATTCCAACTCTGGAGCAGCACTATTCTAATTCCACTAAAAGGTTCCTTGTGCTAAACTCCACTAAGTTTAATAAATAAGATAGGAAAGATTGCCTCTTCATGGCTAAAACTTAAAAATTGATTGGTTAAAACACTGATTTTCTAGTTCCCTCAAGAATATCACAAAATGTTTCTTTCTTAGCCATAAATCACTCTGTCAGTTGGCGTCCAGATTATACTGATTTCAGTTCTGTGCCAAGAAGTAACCTCACCCTCCAAAAAACAGAGCTAATCTGCATACTGTAGATATGGCTACCCTTTTTTATTCTTGAAACAAGCCAAACCTAGATCTACTTTTACTCTCATACAAACTGTTTTTGACTTTCATACAAACCAAACTGATGTCTGTGTTTTGACTTTCATGGAAACCAAACTGATGTCTGTGTTTTGACTTTCATGGAAACCAAACTGATGTCTGTGTTTTGACTTTCATGGAAACCAAACTGATGTCTGTGTTTTGACTTTCATGGAAAACCAAACTGATGTCTGTGTTTTGACTTTCATGGAAACCAAACTGATGTCTGTGTTTTGACTTTCATGGAAACCAAACTGATGTCTGTGTTTTGACTTTCATGGAAACCAAACTGATGTCTGTGTTTTGACTTTCATGGAAACCAAACTGATGTCTACCATTTTTTTTTAACATTTTAGAATGTGAACAGAAGGAATGACAGTTGGTGAAAATCATGATAGTATTCACAATGATTTACATTAACTCAGCCATGCCTACCATCATAATTTTGGGACAGTGAGTATTTATGGGTTATCGGTAGAAATGTGCAACTAATTCTAGATTTTTATAAACCTATACTTAATACTGGATTTTAATTTTAATTTTTGTAATTAATATCAGAAAATATACAGTGGGCGTTACTTGTGATGCTATAAGGGGCTGTGAGCAAAAAGGGTCATGGTTTGCCAACTCTGTTCTTTCTGCAGGGCATTAGGTTCAATGCTACTGCCTACAATGAGATGCTGGACATTGTTGCCAAGACCTGGATTGAGTTCCAAAGGAGGCTATACATATTCAAGTAGGACTCTTATTTTCACACAAGCCCACATAATCCAGGAATGACTGGCCACAAATTTTCACAATCATGTTACTCTATCTCTTCGGATTTGTATCTCTTGGATGACTATGTTTGGGGCATCATGAAAAGGAAGGTCAACCAGTGGCTCCATGATACCAAGGACTTGTTGAAGGCCACCATCACATGTTGCTTTCAAGGCTGAATTGAGGCTGTTCTTAAAGCTGAAGCATTTTATTGAATAAACTTTTTTCTCAAGGACACATGGCCCAGTGGATAAAAACATTGGTCGAAGTAATCCAATGACTTGACCCAAAAAGTTGTGAGTTCAATACCTGGCTAGAGCTGAGGTAAACAAAAACTTGGAGAGTTGAGTTAAAGGGAAATAACTGATACAGAGATATCTGGTAGAGGTATGGTAGTGGGACTAGAACAATCTACTCTGGAGGATGAAATAAAGTGTTCGGTTCAAAATTCCAATCACCTGAAAAAGGCTGGAGTGGACAACAGCTGAAAGGTTGTTAATATGGCAACAGCCCAAACAATGTAAATAGTGTAAATAAACTTTTTCCTATTTTTATAATTTGAACATAGGTACAAATTATTTTTGAAAATATATATAGATTTTTTTTTCTTTTGAATATATTTTCTTTATAATAAAACTTCAAACATATAAACCATGAAGAGGCTATGAAATCAAACATGACTGATCAGGTGCAGAGAAAAAGACAAGGTGAGGTCTCTTATTCTTGTGGAATAAAGTTAGAATAATTGGCAGTAAATAGCATCAGAAAAAAAGGCAGTTGAAAGAATCAGTGCATATGTTATACTCTAATAATCTCAGCAGGTCAAGCATAGAAATAGATGCCAATTGGGAGTCTTTGATTATGAAAGAACATATATTAGTCTTAAGGCATCAAAATTCCATTACTGAATTGTCCTATACAACAATGGCCTAGTAGATAAAAGATTCGGTTAAGTGCATCTAATTACCTTGTAGTCTGAAATTCAATCAGGCAGTGAAAATACTATACCCTTTTCATTTCAGCTCCTGTACCCTTCCTAAAGGTCTGTTATATTTGGTTACCTTTAGAAAATGTTAAATAAAACCCTTTCTTTCATGGCAGAATATACTGTTTACATGTAAATATATATTTGTCACATTCATTGTCCTTTCTTGTGATTTCAGGTTTTGTAATTGTCACTTATAGCCTCTCAGTTGATGTGATCTTTTTTCTGAATTCTTGTGACAAGGAATTATCATTATTATACTCTAAATGTCTTTATTATGGTTTATTTTAGTCACAATGTTTCAGCTGTTGTATTCAATGGACTTCTTCAAATGTCTACCATTGTGGGTAAGCTTCAAGGAATTATGAACTGGACCCTTTATTACTCCTTAGGGTTAGATTGTTCCCATTCTGTAATAAAATTATGTCATGTTCTTTAATAGCCTTGTCAGATATAGAACTCTCATATGGATGTAACACATTTAATCCAACTCATTCAGAAATATTTAAACTATCAGCTATATATAAATTTTCAAGAATTATCAAAAGCCTCTATCCTAAGAAAGCCACTGGCCCAGACAAAATCCCAGTGGTGATCTTTAAGAATATCAGCTTGTAACTTTCTGATCCTAGCAAACTTATTTAACTACTGCTTGAAGGAGAAATATATATATTCCCAATTTTCAAGAACACAGGTGAGCGCTCATCCTTCTCTCAGTATAGACCCATCAGTCTCCTCAATATCGTTAGCAAGCTTTTTGAGGCTATAATCAACAAGATCACTTAGATAAGAATAGCCTCTCAAGCAACAAGCAGTAAGGATTTCAATTGACCTGATCCACTGCTGATGTCCTAACTACCATCATTCATAGAATTAGTGATGCACTAGACAACAAATACACCCTAAAGACCATAGGATTAGATATTTTGAAGGCCTTTGACAAGGCGTGGCACAAAGGATTGCTGTTCAAGCTCTCTAGCCATGGAATCTCTGGAAGAATCTTCTCAATAATAAAGTCCTTTCTAATGGGTAGGTCTCTAAAGGTAGTTATTAATGGCCAGTCCCCCAGGGTCCTAACAATCAATGCAGGCGTCCCCCAAAAGTCACTTCACTGACCAATTCTCATTTTACGTTACATAAATAATCTGCCTAAGACTATACTCCAATCATTTGTGAATATCTATGCCCGATGACACAACAATATATGGGTGAACCTCTAAAACTAGTGATGACCAGATATTGGCAGCTAATCTCACATCCGATCTAGCATTAACATCTCAATGGGGGGGTAAAATAGCTGGTTCTATTCAATGCCTTGAAAACAAAAGGTACATTCTATCATTGCCAACTAGACCCCAAACTACCACCAGTCATGATGAATGGATGTCCCCTCAAATAGGCCCTATGTCTTGAGTATCTATTGGGCCTAAACTCACCCCAGATCTCAAGTGGAATTTGTATATATATCACTAAGGATGCAGGAAAAATGGTTGGTTCTCTGAACCACTCCAGTAATTACCTGACTCCTCATGCTATCCTCTACCTTTACAAGAGCCAGATCAGACCGAAAATTGAGTACTGCTGTCATATTTAGACAAGAGATGCATAGTTCTCACTTTCCAGTCTCGATAGTTCAAAACAATCTCTGCATCCTTGTTGGTGACAAATTATATTCCACCCTTCAAACTCTGTCTCTCACAGATGGGATGAGGCAAGCCTCTCAATGCTCTATTGCCACTTCCATGGAAAGTGCTCAGACAAACTGCATTCCTTGGTTTTACCAGTTCAAACCATCACAATGAGAACATGCCATGCCACTCACATTGTAGAAAACCACCGTCATCCCTCTGAATTCCTTTGGTGAAAAGTAACTTCCATTTGAGCAGAGCATCTTCTTCTTGCAAATCAATGCTCAGTGAAACTGACTCCCAAGAGGATGTTTCCTAAATCACTAAAATCTTAACCTGTTCAAGTTTAGGGTTAACCATTATATTTCCCACCTATTCAAATAAAATATGCTTCTTACTCTGTAACCATGTACCACAAATGGCCCCGTTTTCTCAGATCAATGTTTAAAAATAAGTGAATAATGAAATCAGGAACTCTTGAAAAGGGCTGTCTTTTGTTAGATCTTGTAGACTGGTGCTACAGAATCACTAACAAAGAACTTTACCAAAATACAGAAACCACTTCACTTGGAGACTTCCAACAGCAGCAACAACTAAAAAAAAATGGGGAGCACATGTAATTCTCAAGAGAAAAAAATGGCTTTCCACACTACCTTAAACAAAAGATGAGGAAGGAAAATATCATCAATACTAAAAATAGCAATAAATACTGGACTTGAGAAACCTATTTTCCTGAAAACTATTTTAAGTAAAAGATTTTATAAATTTGTAAGCAAACTGTCATAAATTCACAGAGCCATAAGTTCAAACAGCCACAAATTCACTCTTCCGCCTCATCGACTTTTTCATCTCTTGTTCACTACCATTGACCTTATATACTTTCGAAGGTAGGTAAACTAATCCATAGCCAGCACATTCAGGCTATTCCATCAACACCATAGGTAGCATATCAACTGTTTTCTGTTATAGACAACAGAATGAATCTGCCCCAGTTTTTCTTTATATCATGGGAACCGATGACATTGGCCGGCATATGCCCTTAGCCTTTTTGAAGGTAAGTGGATTTCAACTGGCACTGGCTGCTTGGCCAATGAATACCAAATGTTTCCATATAAGGAAACAGCTAATGTTAGCATTACCATAATAAAATACTTTGGCTGTTCATCTAAAAATGATTGATACTTTTTACTCTTTCTATTTCTTTTACAGAGACTGTTTATATTTGTACAGAAGATGCATTTCCCAATAAAAGACTTTATCAGATGATTGAATCTAAACAGATGAATGAGGTGCTGAAAGGACTTTGGAAAGATGGCTCTCAGCCTGGAGATCACATCTATGTGGAACACATAGCTGATGTAGTAAGCAAGAAATTCTCCTAGTTCTCTCATATTTCCAAGATTAGATATTTTTTTGATTTATAAGTTGCATGAAACTCTCATTTTAGGATATCAGGCCATTAACATACTCTTGAAAACAACCATACAGTCTGATCTGGCTCTTGTAAAGGTAGAGGATAGCATGAGGAGTCAGGTAATTACTGGAGTGGTTCAGAGAACCAACCATTTGCAGGGCCCTGTTGTTAGATATTCAATGAAGTTGTTGAAATGCACAAATTCTATCTCTATCTATAAAAGGCAGGATGTGTGTGTGTGTAACGAATGCACAGCCGCAATTTTCAACGGATTTGCACCAAAATTTATATGCACCTGCTCTAAGTTAGCGGGAAGGCCAAGACCAAGTTTGCATTTTCCAACTCCCATCGATAGTGGAAATAATCAATTTTTTCATGCTTCTATGGCAGTTTTCATGTAGTTTGCAGTCATTTTCTACTGGCCAGAGTGAGAGCCTATAGCTGGCTGCCACAAATAGGCAGGAAGATTCTATTGGCCAGCGTGAGAGCCAACAGCTGACTGACACGAATGTTAACTAGCATGCTAGCAGGCAAAAAAATCGGTAGCTGCATTCGTCACAAGTGGGAAAAATTTAAATCTGCATGGCACTTTACTCCAATTGGCTCATTCGCTTGCTTAAACTCAACGTTGATTCTGATTCCAAAGAACTGGGTTGGGTGTGAAAAAGTATTTGTTGTTGTTATGATGTTGATTTGGGGTTAGTAGAGACAAACGCCAAATAACATGTAACAATAAAAAGGGTTTTAATAGGTTGGTAAAAAGGTACAGAATTCGCCTGAGTAGTCAATAACTAGCTCAGCTAAGAACTTCTCAGTCTATCTGTCTTCCGACATGCCACTATTTAAAGTCTTTGTTCGCAGACAAGTTCATCTTCCAGAGGGGTGGTAGGTTTCCGACACAACAGTTGTTAACATTCTTTTTTCATTTGGTTTTTCCAGTTACAAGTCCTTTTTTAAAGCTGATCATTTTGTGTTCATTTTGTTTAGTCCTTTTTTCGTAACAGATTTAATGTTTAGTATAGGGCTTCGAAAAAATTTGCAGTGTGAGATAGGCAAGAAGTAAGGCATGTAGCAACATCAGCACAGCAAAGGGCACTCCTTTAAAGGCAAGGAAGGGCAAAAATATTTTAAGTCAAGTGATAGCGATTGCTGTATGAGTCGTACGATTTTTGAATCAAGCACGGGCAACGCCGGGCCATGCTGCTAGTAAAGAAATAAAAACATATCACTTCTTTGTTAAAAGATTAGTGAAAGATAGTCATTCAAACCTTTTCTACTGTTGTGCTCCATTCAACTAGACTGTCAGTCTGGTTACATAATAATTAATTAACTGCCTTTCCTTTTAACTGATTTTGCTATTGGAAATATGACATCATCGCTAGCTAGTATTTAAATTACAGTACATGCTAAATTTCGACTAAGAATTTGTCTTTTTTATCAACATACTGTAACATAAGTAGAAGCCTTGGCACCCCGCCTGACTGGTCACCTGTAAATCATTTTTATATTCTTTCTGACAATATTAAAACCTTTTCATGTCTTCATATATATAGACCATGCTGAACATTATAACTAATGTTATTAACAGAGACATCACCAATAGATTGTATTGAAATCACAATGTGGCTGTGGGCATGACGTTAAACTGCATCCAACAGCAAGGCCTCTGATCAGGAGGTTTTGAAGAGCGTGGAACCATCTCATAATTGCTGGTGTTCCCAGTTTCACCCTGACCGGGGGTGGTAGCACCTGTTAGCTATGGGCAAATAGTGAACTTCCAGTCTAGCCCACATCCTGGGTATGATGATAAACTACATCTGAGTCCATGGGTATGACGATAAACTACATCCGTGTCCACGAGTATGATGGTAAACTGCATCCGCTTCCATGGGTATGACAGTAAACTGCATCCGCTTCCATGGGTATGACGATAAACTGCATCTGCATCCATGGGTATGATGGTAAACTGCATCAACATCCATGGGTATGACGATAAACTGCATCCGCGTCCATGGGTATGACAGTAAACTGCATCTGCGTCCTGGATATGGTGATAAACTACATCCACATACTGGGTATGGTGATAAACTACGTCCAACAGAAAGGCTGTTTTTTAAAAAAAATAAGGTTGTCGGCTATACGTTTTGGGGAAAATAGTATTACCAGCTATATGTTTTTGAAGAAATAATGTTGCCAACAGTGTGTTTTTGAAAAATGATATTACCATCTATACGTTTAAAAAAAAGGAAAATATTACCATCTATACGTTTTTGAAAAAATAATATTACCAGCTATATGTTTAAAAAAAAGGAAAATATTACCATCTATACGTTTTTGAAAAAATAATATTACCAGCTATATGTTTAAAAAAAAGGAAAATATTACCATCTATACGTTTTTGAAAAAATAATATTACCAGCTATATGTTTAAAAAAAAGGAAAATATTACCATCTATACGTTTTTTGAAAAAATAATATTACCAGCTATATGTTTAAAAAAAAGGAAAATATTACCAGCTATACGTTTTTGAAAAAATAATATTACCAGCTATATGTTTAAAAAAAAGGAAAATATTACCAGCTATACGTTTTTGAAAAAATAATATTACCAGCTATATGTTTAAAAAAAAGGAAAATATTACCAGCTATACGTTTTTTAACAAAACCTTATTCAATGGAATTGTAACTGGGGTCAGAACACTGTGAAAGTGTAAAAATGGGTTTTAATACCAGAAATTCTTTGTAAAAATTATTACCATCAATCCATTTTTGAAAACCAAATGTTGCCAGCAATATATTTTTGAAAACCAAATGTTGTCAGCAATGCGTTTTTGAAAGGAAAAACCTAAACAAACCTTAAAACACAAAGTAATCCAATGAATCAAATAGGAAAACAATGATCACAAATACACATAAGATACTTCAATGGAACTGTAGATGAATAAATAAAAAATTATTATCAGAAATAAATTTTTGAAGGAAAAGATATTACCAGCAATACGTTTTTTATGTCAGCTATATGCTTTTGAAAAATACTATAACCAGCTATACGTTTTTGGAAAAATACTATTACCAGCTATATATTTTTGAGGAAAGATATATTGATAGAAATGGATTTCTAACAAAACAAAAATATTATCAAAAAAAAAAAAAAAGTCGGCGGCATTAAATGACCCATTGAGGTTGATATGTTATAAAACAAAACAAACAAATGTGGCTGCCAAATTTCACTCATCAGTTTGTAAAAGTAAAGTGGTAATGCAATATTCACTTCACAAAAAATAGAACGAATCTTACAATCCAAAAATGGATTAGTCTTACAATCCAATCCCCAAAAAAGGATTAGTTTTTACAATTCCAAAAAAAGAATTAATCTTACAATCCCCCACCCAAAAATTAATCTTACATTCCCCACAAAAGAAAGAATTAATCTTACGCTCCCAAAATGATTAATCGTACATTTGCCCGAAAAGAATTAATCTTACAATCCCCTCCAAAAAGAATTAATCTTACACTCCCTGAAAAGAAAGAATTAATCTTATAATCCCCCAAAAAAAGAATTAATCTTATAATCCCAAAAAAAAGAATTAATCTTACACTCCCAATAAAGATTAATCTTACAATCCCAAAAAGGATTAGTCTGACAATCCAAAAAAATTAATCTTACAATCCCAAGAAAAAGGATTAGTCTTTCAATCTACCAAAAAAGAACTAATTTTACAATTCAAATAAAAAGAATTAATCTTATAATACAAAAATCTTCTTGAAGTATTGCTCTCTTTTTCTAATTGTCATTTAAAATAAAGTGCATTATAAAACAGATGAATTTTGTGTAATGTTTCCTTGTATATTTGTCATTAATTTTTGATTCATTGCCTTTTAGATGGAGTATTTTTGTTGAATTAATGAATTTTATTATTGTATCTTATGTCTTCTCAATTTGTCTCCTTAAATATTTGATTCCTTTAGTTGGAGTCTGGTAACTCTGTATGCAATAGCAGTTAGCAAGATGTGTCTTACTGACCATTACTGCTTAGTAATGTGTTTGATCCACATTGAGTGCTCCAAACAAAATTTGAGATTAACCCAACAAGGGTTAACATATCATAAAATCAACCAAACTAACCACATTTGCAATGGATTTTTATAATAAAATCATTTGCAATGCATTTTTATAATAAAATCATTTGCAACGCATTTTTATAATAAAATCATTTGCAATGAATTTTTATAATAAAAATATTTGCAATTTATTTTTATAATAAAATCATTTGCAATGTATTTTTATAATAAAATTATTTGCAATGAATTTTTATAATAAAATCATTTGCTATGCATTTTTATAATAAAATCATTTGCAATGTATTTTTATAATAAAATTATTTGCTATGCATTTTCATAATAAAGTCATTTACAAGTGCCTTGGCATGAGGTAATGTTTAGCAAGGTTAGTCTGGTTGATCATTACTACTGAGTAGTGAATTTAATCCACCCTAGGTGCCACTTATAAAATTTGACATTAAGCAAACAATGGTTGACGTGTCATAAACTCAACCACCTCCACTTATTTAGAATCAAAACCAAACAATTTTGTTCATCATGTGTTAAAGTGAATATTCTTTTTGTTCTTTTACAATAAAGATTTACATTCAAAGATCATCCTTCTTTTAAGTTAGCTTAGTTAACCCTCAGCATCTCTTGTCATTATAATCCTTTTTTAATGGTTGGCAGAAGTTGAATCATGCACATGTTAATATAATATCACATATTTCAGTTAATATTTATTAATTAGCATTGATTAAGTTATTACCATTATTATTATTATTATTAAATTAAAGCAGATTCACACTTAGGTCAAGTATTTCAGTTGCAATGAGTTATTTTAAAGTAGGTTTCTCCAAGTGAAGTTGCTTTTCTCCTGGAATTTACATTGTGGATTTTCTGCTA